TCTACATACTCTAGAGGAGACAGGCGATGAATCGGGCAGAAATACTCCTTGCCTTTTGATTTCACCTTCACGACTTGTACCAATCTGTCACTTCCGGGGTACACTTCCATCACGCAACCAAGCGGCAACTCACCACAATTAGCTTTAGGTTCAGCTATAAATACAATGTCTCTAGGTTTCAAGTTGTGCCTTGTGTGAAACCATTTTTTGCTGACATTTAATGACGGACAAGACTCCCTACGCCAACGCCTCCAAAACAACTTCAACAACCGCTGTATGCGATGCCATCTTTTAACTGGGTTATAGTCTTCCTCTTTTAGAATTTCTGGGGCAAATCGCCCTCCAATCTGGCCAACGATAAAATGATTGGGGGTCAAATCATTCAGGTCCACACTAACATAGGTGATCGGTCTGGAGTTCATGTTCATAGGTGATCAGTCTGGAGTTCTCCTCCACATATGGCTGTGTGTAACTCCTCATCTCTTACCTCAGCATCACCCAAAATTGCTTTTATCGCTTTTTTCGCACTCTTGATTAATGCCTCGAATACGCCGCCAAAGTGCGGCGCGGAGGGTGGGTTAAATTTCCATTCTATCCCTTAGTGAACAATGGTCTCTCGTGTGATCTTTTCTTGGTTTAAGTTATCAACAAGTTCACGCAGCTCTCGCTCCGTGCCCGTGAAGTTGGTCCCATTGTCGCTTATCACGTAGCTTGGCGTCCCCCTCCTGGAAATCATCCGGGTAAAGGCATTGATGAAAGAATCATTGTCTAACAAGTACACCATCTCTAAATGTACGGCGCTTGTAGCCAAGCAGGTGAATAAACATAGATAACATTTCGCCTTTAACGTTCGTTCCCACCCCTGTCAAGTGAGGAAGGGTCCACCGTAATCAACTCCAACCTTTTCGAATGCCCGCAATGACTCCAATCTGGGTCGTGGAAGAGGTGCCATCATCTGGTTTGCCATCTTCATCAAAAACCGTTGCTGACATTCAGAACAAGTTTCAATTGTATTTCGAACTGTCTTACGACCTTTCACAATCCAATACCAAGAACGTAAATGTGTTAAGGCTAATTTAACACCAGGGCCATGTCCTAAGCATTCATGAGCGTTGAGCACAATCAGTTGGGTAACCGGGCTGGTCTTGGTAGAATGACAGGGTGTCTAGCATCGTAAGGCAATTCCATTGCAAGGCGCAAATGTCCGTCCAGTCCCAGCAGGCCATCAGGGTCCTTCCGAGGATTGAGTTGTACCAGCGAAGGGTCTTTCTCAGCTTAAGGGTATGCTTCAATTTTTACTTCCTTTATCCAAGCTTTCTTTGCTTGTGCGATCTCCAAACATAAAAGTTTGCGTCCTTTCACTCTAGTTGCAACCGGTATCCTCGTATTTCTTCCAAAACGTAATATCCATTCTGTCACCCGACAAGGATGCTTGAAGCTTGAAAAACACTGTGGATCGATGGCAAGAATTTCACCTGTGCTAGTTGTGTGAGTCTGACAGGCCTGTCTCTTGTGGTCATTAACTTGGTTTGGGTTCCTGCTCGGGGGTGTAGGCCATGCAGTCTCGGGCTGTTTTAAAAATGTTGGGCTCTCCAACCAGAAGGTGCACTTAGGCAATTCAGAAGTCTTCATTCTCCTTGTAGCCAGATCAGCTGTGTTGTTCGTGCCTGGGATGTGGTGCCATTGCTCTGGATTTGTGGTGCGATGGATCTCTCCAATTCTGTTTGCTACGAATGGTTTGAACTCTTTGCTTTGGTTGTGCACCCAATACCAAACATTTTCAGAATGTATCCAAAAGAATACCCTGTCTACTTCGAGCACTTTTAGGAGGTTTCGAGCTAGACGACAAGACAATACAGCACCCATGAGTTCAAGACGAGATATGGTCATACACTTCACAGGAGCGACACGACACTTTGACCCAATAAGACAAGAAGTTATATCGTCAACTTGATATAAACTCCCAAATATGCCACTGCAGCAAATGCATCTTTGGAAGCGTCCGAGAAAAGATGCATATCAACACTGACATGATTTGCAAGGCGAAGGAGACATTGAACAGCCAAACGCGACAAGAACGGTCATTCTGACACCCATTTTGACCATTTTGTCGCCAGGTCATCTGGAAAGAAATTATCCCAATCTAGTCCAGCCAACCACATTTCTTGCATTAACATCTTAGCGCGAATAATAAATGGAGCGAGAAATTGAAGCAGGTTGTAAATTGCTGCGATGGTACTCAATACGGTGCATTTCATTAAGGGCTCAGCCGATTCAGGATACTTGATCTGGAAGGTAAACACGTCATCCCTGGCCTCCCACATCATGCCAAGGGTCTTTGCTGACCAAGGGTCTTTCGTTTTCGTTCCACCATCTTTGCTGAAGTCTAAGGTTGAAAGACGTTCACTTTCAGGGATGTTTTCAATAACCGCTATTTCGTTTGATGCTCATTTTCGTAGAGGAAAGCCCGAGAAGGGTCGTAAGTTGGCATTGTAAATCTTGGGCTGTCTCCATGGTTTCACAGGAGTTGAGTAGGTCATCGACATACATTGAGTTTAACACTGAATCAGCAGCTTTGGGGAATTCTGTTGAGTGTTTTTTAGCATGACTTTGAATGATGTACTGTGAACAAAAAAGAGATGCCGTATTTTCAAACACCAATCTCTCAAACTCGTAGATTGTCGGCTTGCGCGCTGTATGAAAGTCACGCCAAAGGAATCTGTGGTACTTTCTATCTGACTCCTGTATGCCCACCTGCAGAAACATCTCTGAAATATTGCTGCTAAGTGCCACGGGCGCTCCCCGAAAACGGGTTAGAACGTCAATGATCTCCCTCTGAAGCTTTGGTCCTGATCGCATTGCGTCATTCAAACTCTTTCTGTTATACTTCATTGCTGCGTCAAACACAACTTGGACTTTTGTAGTATTCTTGTCGGGTCAAACCACTGGAAAGTGCAGTAAAAACCATTGATCTGACGCCTCCGTCTTGGGAACCGCCCGTACATATCCTTTCTCTTAATAGTCTTTGAAAATCTTGCTATAAGCCTGCATGAGCTCTGGACCTTTCCTCTTCAGGGACTTTTCTTGGTCTTCAAGGCGATGCATGGTAACTTCAAAGTTATTGTCTAACTTAAGCCCGGCGCACACTAGAGCTTGCTTCTCAGCCAAATGTCATTCGTGGCAGCGGGCTTAAGCAGGAAGCTCCAGTGTGCGGTGAAGTTTTTTGAGTTTTTGTTCACTCGTGGCGCCTGGAACAAATATTCAACATGTTGAATATTTTTTGGCACGAATAACGCTTGCCTCCGTGTGTGCGCTAAATTGAAGGAGCAAGCTCGCAACAACTGAATAATGCGCATGCGTATCAGCGACAGTAAACGAAAACAAAATGGAGGGGCAAAGTGAGTTGCTGACTGATGCTATTTTGGAGGACAGAATTGCTGATATATGGCCCGATTATCCGTGCCTATATGATGTTAGATCTCCAGACTTTAAAAACCGAGATAAGAGAGAAAAGGCATTCCAAGAAATTGCCGAAAAATTGCAAAAAACTGGTAAGCTTTAACGATACAGTCGATTAGTCGATACATATTTGAATTTCTTTGCTAATGTTTGTCAAGATTTTGCCTCATGACCTCATCTACACACTATGTATCTCTTTTGGAAAATCAAGGAGTATTTTATGTTTTGGTTTACTTGTGCAATAGTGGTGGACAGTAGCGTAGCCAGCCTGACGATTTTGTCCCGCTATGTAAATTGCGAGTTATTATAATTATTCATGTATTTAGAAATCTATTGTTTTCACAGTCAATAAACACTCAAATATTAGCATAGCGGGACAAATCGACAGGCTAGCTACGCTACTGGTGGTGGAATCTATTTCCACCTGCAGCATAATAATACTTTTGTACTGTATTGTGCTATTTTTAGTATATACCTAATATTAATTCATTTTGCAGTCGACTGGGTTAAAGCTAAATTAAAAGCATTACGAAATAGTTATACAAAAGCCAAGAAGCCTGGACCATGTGGAAGTGCCAGAAAAACCCTTACCAAACGGGCTGCCTGGTTGCTAGAAAAATTACAATTTCTTGCTCCACATGTTGCAACACGAGCATCTATTTCAAACGTCGATTTAGTAAGTATATTTTAGAAATAAGTATTCAATCACATAAGTTCATTGAATTATTAGTTGAAAGCCTGTGTAACTAGTGTGTAACTAGCCATGGTAAAGAAAGTTTACATTTCAAACATGTTAGCCAGACAAGCTAATCAGTTTTAAACAACATTCCAAAACACATTAATTAATTTTAGGTTGCTTCATTTATTGTACAATCATATTGTCTTGCCATGGGATAGCCTGCGTTGCCAGCCGGCTAAACACGGTTATATCCGTCTGCGCATTAGCGAACAAATTCATGTTCCAGTACCAGGAAATGAGTACTGACTCCTGATTGGCTCGCTTTTGTGATAGTTATAACATCGTTTCTGATTGGTTATGGAAATTACACGGGCTGGCACCCTAAAAATCAAAATGGCTACATTTCCGGAGCGTGCTTGGAAAGAAGCCTTTTTATCTGTTCAGAAACAATTCCTCATCGATCACCTCCTACCAGAACAAGTATCTGCAGTTAAAGCTTTTATTGAAAAGGGAAATGTCTTTGTAAATTTGCCGACGGGGTATGGTAAATCGTTAATATTTCAATGCATTCCTATCGTGTATGATATTCTGTACTCGAGGCCTCGTGGCACTAGTGTAGTTGTTGTTATTTCGCCATTGAAAGCTCTAATGAAAGATCAAGTAGAATACTTAGCAACTTTTGGTGTTCCTGCCATTGCTATTGGGGATGAATACGATGAAGAAACAATACAACAGGTCAAAAACGGGTATTTTTTGATCGTGTATTGCTCTCCTGAATGTTTGTTGTCAACGAGTACTTGGAGGGAGATTTTCAACGATGCTGATTTCCGTGAAAAACTGGTTGGTGTAGCTATCGGACGAGGCTCATTGTATTACTGAGTGGTACGTTATGTGAATGCTTTATAATTATATTAAAAATATCTATTTATTACTCGCCAGGCACATAGTCTTACATAGCTACACGTTAGCTAATGCATGCGAGGACGATCTTACCAGTCACCCCATGTGTCATAAAATTATTTGGCATAGTAAGACCTATTAAATTTGACAAATAACAATGTTTATTGATTACAACAGATAGTATACCATTTCTGCTCAATATGAAAGAATACTATTTGAGATTACGGACAAGTCGTTAAAAGTGTGTGTGTGTGTGTGTGTGTGTGTGTGTGTGTGTGGGGTGGCTGATTCAACTATGTATTTATGAATATTTATCATCACTCCTTTTCCATTTTAGGGGTTTGTCAAATTCAAGCAAATGCCCATTCCGAAAGTGGTATGGTTGTCTAGGTGAACTCAGATCACTTATTCCACAAGAATGCAAAATAATGGTTCTAACAGCAACTGCATCAAAACTTACTACAGAGAAAATTTTGGATGCAGTTAATATATCTCGCGATACAATTATGATACAGCAGAGTCCAGATAAAGTGAACATTTCATACACGAGACAATACCTTGATAAAAATTACCCCATTGAAAAGCAATTTGGTGCACTTCTTGGAGAATGTCAAAGGCTTGGAATAAATACACCCAGAACTATAATATACTGTCAAACACGGAAACAATGTGCAATACTATTTCGTTTGTTTGAAGTGTGTCTTGAAGAAAAACTTTATCATGGTAGCAAAGATTATCGAAATCGTGTTGTTGACATGTACCATGCAGGCACACCAGAATCTGTAAAGGAACATGTTTCTGAGCAAATGTCAAATGAAAATGGTGTGATTCGTGTACTAATATCATCAATTGCTTTTGGGATGGGTGTCAATTGTAAGCAGGTAAGAAGAGTTGTGCATTTTGGACCCTCCAAAAGTATAGAATCGTATATTCAAGAGTGTGGTCGAGCTGGTCGAGATGGAGTTCAAAGCACATGCATGCTTCTATATAATGGCCTACTCTCTGTGCACTGTGATAATGACATGAAACATTATTTAAATCACGAAGGATGTTTGAGGGAAAAGCTATTGATTCATTTTGGGTACAAGGTGGACCACAAAAACTTTCAGTTTCTGCACAACTGCTGTAGTAACTGCCAGCAAAGTTGTTTGTGTGGCACATCCTCTTGCAGGAAACTTTGGAGTCCACAACTTGAGCAAGAATGTGACCTTGATTTATATACTACTGATGAACAGGAGAAAAGCAAGTTGACAAGAGTTGTGACCAAGAAAGACAAAAAACTATTGAAGGAAAAGCTTATCAATTATCAGAGAGAGATGCTAAAAGAATACAACATTAAAAATATGGTGACATGTCCAAATATGTTACTAGAATTTAACATGTTTCATATTAATCAAGTACTTGGTAGTTGCCATTCTCTATTTACTTTGAATGATGTTTTAAAATCTGTTGAAATATGGCGACATAAGTATGCTGTTGAAATCTTAAGAATTATACAGGATATTTTTGGTGACATGGAAATAGAAATACCTGATGATTTAGAAGACTCAGATGAAGAGGAAACTCTTACTACAGAATGGGAGGCTTTGAGAAATGATTCATCATGTTTGGAAATTGTAAATAGCCAAGATCTGGTTGCTATTGAATCCACCATGGACACTGATACTTCTTACAATAATATTTCAATATGACTTTGTTGACAATATATGTATTTTGAACAGTTATTAACAATATGAATATAATTATTTACAAAATATACAAGTAGCAATTTTTTAAGATCCCAAACCCATTAATTAAAAACTAAACATTATTTACACTTCATCTCGCTTTTCTGTTCAAAATCATGAATTTTTTATGATTGTTTATCCATGTAAACATTTTATGCATATCAAAGCCACTCAACAAACTTGGCTTAACATGTTTAAAAACACTGTATCTCCGTCCTGGTGTGCATGTGAAGGCATTATTAACTACTAATTCATTGACAATTTTCTTTAGATCCCCTTGAGTTGAGGTCTTAACATGTCTTCCTGCTCTTTTGAAAACTGATAAGTTGGTGTCAAAAGTCTTCATCAAAGATGAGGTTACCCCCAGTGAGTGACAGATTCTATCCAGGGATTTATCTGACGCACCTGCTCCTTGATTTTTTATAGCCTCTTTTACCAACTTGTTTAAAAATTCCAACTGCAGGTCTAATGGAATATTTCCACTGATTCCAGGTTTGCTTTTGGTAAAGCGGTTCCAAATTAGATGATGTGTACACTTGGGGCTCAATAAAGCATTTATCTGAAACATCAAATACAGTGCTTCCAGTGAATACTTGGCTGACCCTCCTTGATGTTTTAAGTACATTAAAAAAAATTTCCAACACCGAACAACTCTCTGACCATCCCCTTCTGATATTGCGTCGAAAAAGTTCAACACGAGCATGCCATAGTCAAGAAGTGATCTCTGGTATGACAACATATCATCATCCTCATGAACAGATGTTGCTTCTAGAATGTGTGCATTAGAGTCTCGCAATGACACAGGTGGATTGTGTTTAGCTTCGTGGTCTGTTCTTAACTTTCCAGCATGAGCAAATGTTTTTGTACAGCCAGGAGCCCGGCAAGGGAACCTGCCATGGATATCTGTTTGTAGATCTTCTTGGATTGAATTAACTGACTCTTCAACATCACTGTTACGCCTTTGATCAATAACAAATTCATCAATGACAAGTGATGAAATGTTATTCAAGTAGGATTTTCTCTCTTGTAAACTTGCACTTGCAGTTGTTGAAAACTTGTGTTTGCTTGGCTCTTCATCAATCTTCTGCATTCCTAAAAGATGCATAGCTGCAGCAATGATTCGAGCTTCCACTTCAATGACAAAAAATCTTCTACAAGCATTGGCTGCTGCAGTCACATCTTGCTTTACATTTCGCCTATTCACCAGGTTTCTGTCGCTAAACATGGTACACTTATCGCCAGCTGATGCAACATTGTATAGTTGAGAGAAAGCCACCTAATAAAACAGAATTTGGCATGGTACACTGTAATGATGTAAGATATTTTCATTTAAATACAATTATGGTAACCTTGTTCTGGACTCAATGAAAGTGTATTATATGCTTTAATTTTACCACAAAGTCGTTTACCTCCAAAAATTTGTTCCCAGCATGCCAATCTGCAATCTCAAAGTGCAAGCCTTCAATTCTTTCATCTGGCGTAAATCCATTTGCAACTGAGCTAAGCCCATTCACCCCACGCTCAACACTTAATTGGTCACCAACGACCCCTTGTCCAGCATATTGCTTATCTTTGTCTTCACCATAACATGGAACATACTTTTGAAGAGACTTCAGGATAGCTAGTATTCCGTCTGAGTCATTTTCATTATCATGCAACATACCAAGAAATGTCTATAAAAAAATAAGTAAATATAAGCAGTCTCATGGTGTTGGCTTCTGTTTAGGGCAGATAATTTATCTATTTTCATATTTATCATAATTGGCTAAACTGCAGAATACCCTTTCACTAGTCACAGCCGCTACTCATAGCCACCACAATGCTGGCTACTGGCTACAGGTTTAATTAAGATATTTGAGAACGAGGTTATACAATAATGATGTAATGTTAAATGTATAGCAGCTATAAATTATTATTTCACTGGCTACTGGCTACAGGTTTAATTAAGATATATCAACTATCAGCTTAATTAAACCTGTAGCCAGTAGCCAGTGAAAAAAATAGACCTACATTTAGCATTACATCATCATTGTAATGCCTCGTTCTCGAATATCTTAATTAAACCAGGTGTAGCCATGTAGCCAGGTATTTAATGATTATTAAATATCAGTACTCATAGCCAGTAGCCGCTTTCTTCAAACACAGCTTCAAAAATGACAAGGTATTCGACTACAATTGCTTCGTCATAATTTATCATATATTCAATAAAATTAATAATAACTTGCAAGTGTGTTTTTCCATAACTTACCAAATCTGATTTCATACACATTTCTTTTGTGTACATATGGGGAATATGATGAACAGCAGCATCTGATAAGAATTCCAAACTTTTTATATTGGTAGAAATAACACGTCCCACCAGAGCAATATAGTTATCACGTTGCTTTTGATTATCACGACAAGATGGGAGACATTTACCATTCTGAAGTTTAAGAATCCCATCCTTAGGCTGCTCTTCACCAAGGTGATTCCCTGAAACACGGTTTTCAATTGCCATTACTGTTACACAGTGCTTGTCTACATTTTGGTGGTCCTCTGTCATACGGTGAACCTCTTGGTGATAGTCAATGTTGTCAAACACAAGTTTTCTTCCAACATCTTGAGTAAAACACCTGTTATTCTGTTGACCATGTGCATCTGGGTTTATTTGGGCTGCTCGTTGTTCCATAAACTCCCCTTGTTCTTTCACCGAATGTAAGATGTCCTTGTTGTAATCTTTTCCAAACTCGTCCAACTTCTTATATACATAAGTATGACTGGTTGTGATTTTCAGTGGACATAGCCGGGCAAGTGTATTCTAAAATTCATAAATTAGATATTACTTGAAATATCCCTTTTAATGCATTGAGGTTAATAATTAACCATCCTATGCACATTATGATGAGAAAAAACATGTGACCAAAATCAACTCCCGCCCCTCCCCCACCCTTACATCCGGTAAAGCTATAGAGCTTTGATAGAGCAACAAAGGATACTTTGTGTGAGTTGCATTATTTGTTAGCACTTACCATCCAGTTAGAATGATAAAGAAATATGGTCAACAAAAGCTGAACGGCAGTCATATATCTTGACCTGTTCTTTAAACATATCGAAGCTGCCATTGCTACAGCTGCAAAATCTGGTTTATCTTTGGTTGATTTACTTCTCTTGTTAATACTTGCTGCTGCAAGAACAGAATGAAAAAGTGGTGCTCTGTCTTTTATCTCATTTGACAGATTTTCCATGGAAAATGACAGCATGCTTTGCTTTCTGTTGCTCTGAGACAGGATGGGGTTTTCTTTGAACAAAGTTTAGTCACCTCATTTTCAATTTCTTTCACCATTAGTTGCTTAAGTTCTCTTTTTAGATCAGAGCTTTTCCACGCCGCATTAGCTATTTGTTTGTATGTACCCCTTAACAGCATCTTGCCAAGTGACTCAAGTTCAGAGGGGAGTTTTCGCTCAGCAGTTTTGGACGGCCAGTTTATCTTTACAGTCACATCGACTTCTCCCTTTTTTTGCTGAAAAACTACGGGCGAGGCAGGAATTTCGAGACGAGTATTTAACCCAGAATTTGGCGTGTTTTCTTTTACTGGTGTGGATGTTGTGGGCACAAATATACGCTGTCGTTTCGTCGGGGAGGCTTCGCCAGCAACTTGAGATTTGTTATCCTCACTTCGTCTCTTCGTTTCGGACGGTGTCTCGTCGATCTTGCAGGCATTTTGAATTGCCTTATCGATTTCAGACAACTGTTCTTTCAAACTTTTGCGTTTTTTCAGTTTCGCGAGACAATGCTTACAAATATACTTCACAGAACTTTTCACCGGGACAGTGAAAGGGAGATTTCTTAACGCTTCTTTCACATCGAATTTTCCTTTTCCTTCTATAAAATATCTTTCCGTGTGTTTAACTATATCTTGAGAACATAATACACATGAATAATTCATGAATAAGTAGTCTTTTACAGTCTTTTACCAATATGGTTCTATTCTTCCTGAAGCCTGCGGGCAGGCTGATATTGTTTACTGCTTCAGTAACCAATCAGAAACGATGTTATAACTATCACAAAAGCGAGCCAATCAGGAGTCAGTACTCATTTCCTGGTACTGGAACATGAATTTGTTCGCTAATGCGCAGACGGATATAACCGTGTTTAGCCGGCTGGCAACGCAGGCTAGCCATGGGACAGATCCATGATTGTTAAAGTATGTAGTTAGGATTTCACGCTGATCCTTGGCACTTCTAGGTGGGTTGTGATTAGGATTGCTTTGCAAACCAGTAAGTCTTTGGTCATTTCTCCACATTCCTTCAGAAATTGTATGATCAGCATTCTCTAAGTCAGCAGCCGCTGTGTATGTTGATTTGTTTTTTTCCACTAGGTAGTTGTGTAGACAGCAAGCGGCAAAAAGGACATATGTCAACTTATCTGGGCACATTTTAATTGTAGTCAGAAAAACTCTCCATCTGTGAGCTAGAATTCCGAAGGCGTTCTCAACCACTCTCCTTGCACGTGATAATCTGTAGTTAAATATACGCTTCTCTTGTTCTAAGTTGCGATGTGGGTAAGGTTTCATGAGATTCTTTGACATAGGGAAGGCATCATCCCCAACAATGTGGTAGTTTAATTTAAATACTGAATTTCCTGGAAGACATGTAGGAGATGGAAGGTTAAGTGAATTATTTGACAACGACCTGGATGAAATTCCAAGATCGACAAAAGAGCCATTGAAAATGAAACCCAATAGAAAAAGGCAAGCTGAAGAGGAATTTAAGATAATACAAGAACTGGCACAGTCTCTTGCTGAAAGAAAGTCGAAGACACAGAAGTCAAACAAACCAGCTACTAATCCTGTTGAACCATTTTGTCAATATGTAGCACAGACATTGTCTACGCTTGACACTGGAGTTCGACACCTAGCTGAACATAAAATAAGCCAAATCCTGTTCCAAGCACAAACTGGCACACTTGCTCAAGAAAACCCATACAGATCTATTCCACCTATACAACCACAGCCACATTTTTTCCACACAGAAAATACACAATATAGCCTGGCAGGAATGAACAATCAAGCTGTGAGCACATATTCTCCATTCAATGCTCAGCAACCACATTCTTCACCCCAGAATGACTCTGCAGGTCACAACTTCAATGCTCGTACAGGTATATGGAGTTTGCAAAATACACAAGGTGGCCACACCCCAGAAGATAGGCACTAAAGCATGCAACAACTTTACTCCAGCTAAGTAGCAAGTGGAAAAAAACTGCAATGGATATTGGAAACTATTAAAAGAAACATCTATTTTATACTATTTACAATAGGATGCCTTTATCTTAATCATGCATTAATGTTGTGTTAAAAGAAAATTCATATTACAAACCTTTAAATAAATTTCTTTTAGTGCTATGTACAATGCTTTGCAAGTTTCTTCAACAATTGATGAAATAGTTCTTTCCCCTATTCGGTACTGAAATGACAGACTCCTAAAAGTCTCACCTAAAATATAAGGTGACAGGTTGAGTCCGTTAAGAAAGCAATGAATCATAATCATTTGATAAAGTTCTGTCACTTCATTAAAATTACTTTTAGGAGCTTTTGGAAAGGAATATTTCCTTGTAGTTCATTAGTTTAAAATCATCGCATTTTGAAATAATAAATTTGAGATCTAAGTTTACAATTCGATATACTTAAAGAACAGAAAATTTTTAGTTATTATAATTACAAAACCACCGAAAATAAGGGATAAAAAACAAACCTGTTGCAAGAAATCGCAGAGTTACCGATAGGCGCTCAGACGGCTTTAGTGCACTTCGCAAATGGGTATCTTTTTTTGAGATGAATGGGCAAACCATTCCCAAGATTTCATTGAATGCTTCTCTATTCAAGCGATGGTATTGCCGGAATCGTTCTGGATCTTCAGCATTTAACTCACGAATTAGATTTGCATGCGCCCCTTGTGTTTCTCTCCGCAATATCCAGCGCCTTGACCATGTCTGCCGATTTGCAGCTCGTAAAAGACGTCGTCGCATAAGCAACAAAAAAAGCAACATTTCTTCGAATTCCTCTTCTTCGGAATCTCTTGCTATTTCCTCCATTTTGTTTTCGTTTACTGTCGCTGATACGCATGCGCATTATTCAGTTGTTGCGAGCTTGCTCCTTCAATTCAGCGCACACACGGAGGCAAGCGTTATTCGTGCCAAAAAATATTCAACATGTTGAATATTTGTTCCAGGCGCCACGAGTGAACAAAAACTCAAAAAACTTCACCGCACACTGGAGCTTCCTGCTTAAGCACGCTGCCACGAATGACATTTGGCTGAGAAGCAAGCTCTAGTGTGCGCCGGGCTTTAGGCTCCCCGTCCTTCTATGGCATACCAAGCTCGTACCATCCATCTTTAAACCTCAACGTTTCAGACACTTGCTTTACAGCAGCTTTATCTTCTGTGGTCATGGGTTGGTCTCCCTGTTCCTTTATGCCGATGGATTCCAATTCCCAGAATTGGTGCAAAATATCAACGGGTGGGGGTTCTTGATCAGAGGTGTTATGTTGAGAACGAAATGTCATAGTAAAGTGTGTCTATCTTGTCAGAACTCTTGCACCAACATAGGCCCGAAACACACCCACCCCAAATTGGTCAGACGGGGTGGAACAGGGGGTGGTTGCTTCCAATCATTATGTCAATCCGTCTGCATTTTGAAATATCTCAAAGGGGATGTCACACAGATGAGGCCATTTCTTCTTTATTCTCGACCATTTTATGGCAGGCGTGTCAAAATGTATTTCAAAAACTGATGTCCAGACTTTAAATTTTTGTAGCCCATTTTCACATTTTTATAATTAGCTAATTGTTGTTATACAATTATATTAAATATTGGCATCAATTGATTATACCGTTTTTATATGGACACGACCAAAACTAGCTAAGTTATCGTCTTTTAAAAATTGTTGCGCGAAATAAAATATTTCCGATAATGGAAATTCAAAGTGAGACCTCCAGACAAAAAAAAAGCAAATTTAATTAAATCGACAAACTGTAATGTAGCAAAATTTACATAAATCCAACGAGTTTAGGGTCTTATGCCTTCAACATGTCCTCTGTTTCTGTCTATGCAAGTTTGACAGCGTCAAAGGATGCCTTGAACTGCTTGTCGAACCATTATCATAAAATGTTTTTACAATAAATTTACAGTGCCTAGACCACTTAAATACTCCTCTACTTGAAACCACTAACATGGACCTACAAATAGCTACCTTTTTAAAGAAAGGTATCATTGTTGAAAGCTCAGATGAACCTGAGCAGTTTATTTCGACTGTCTTTCTTCGTGAGAAAAAAGACGGAACTTTTCCGTACTCTAAACTTAAAGTCTTCAATAAATGGGTGAACTGTAACCATTTTGAAATGGATTCGAACCATACACGCACACAACTCATGAAGCCATATTGTTATATTGGCTCTATAGACCTAAAAGATGCATATTTTTCAATTCCGATCCATCGGAATCATCAGAAGCAGGGCTCTCAGAACGTCATGCCAAATATTCCTTAGACTCAGCGGTAAAAATTCCATAAATGAGCAAACATTTCCGCAAACTCTAAAAATTGCGGGAAAATAGTTTTTAGCATTCCAACATGTTAGATTCTGAATCTTCAAGCAAAGAAACAGAGGCAAGTCCTCAAAAACAACAACAACAGCAGCAACCGCAACAACAGCAACCACAACAAGAGCCGCAACAACAGCAACCACAACAACAGCAGCAGCAATCGCAACAACAGCAACAACTGCAACAACAGCAGCAATGGCGACAGCAACAACCACTTGGTGTCATGAATCTACAGATTCCCAATGTTTTATTTATTTATTTACATTTGGCACATCATACTAATATAAAAATACATAAAAAAGACAAAAAAACATATACACAATACATGCAATGATGATGGCTAGGTAGCCACAACAGCGTTAGCCAATTACAGTGGTCCCGCACAGACGGACGGTTTGACGGACGGATAAATGGTAAAATAATGTGAACGGACGGATAATTCGTAAATTAATGTGATCTAAAGTTAAAGTTAAAAGCAACATGTCGGTGCTGTGGAAATGTTTCGAGCGGTATTGCATTTCAAGCAGATGCTTTTCCATGTTCATGGGTTTTCTGGGTCGTAAGTATTCTGAAGCGCTGTCACATAGTAGTTGAAGAGATTTTTCTTGAACATGTTGAAAGTAGAAATGTTTGATGTTATATGATCAGGTAGGAAATGTGGTCGATCTGCTGTGGAGCCCACACGCAATGAACTATGTACAATGCACGTCTGAAAGATATTGGCGTCAGGTTCCTAGTTGCCTGCCTGATGTAACCTAGCAGTTCGTTTGCTTTATTACCCACAATCGCTATGTGGTTTGACCAAGTCAACTTTCTGTTGATCCAGACCCCCAGGTCTTTCACATTCTGAGTGCTGCACTACGCTGTCATATAGATGATAGTCATGGTGGAGTTGTTACGTTTCCTCGTGATGGTGACCGTCGAGCATTTTTCAACATTAAGTTGATGAGCTGCATTGGTAGAGGCTATTTCAAAATTTGATAGGTCAGTTTGTAACTCAATGCCATCAGTTAATTTGTTAATTTCCTTGAAGAGTTTGGTGTCGTCTGCAAAGGAAGCTAGTTTTGACTTACAGACTGAGTCAGAGAGATTGTTGGCATAGAGGATGAACAGTAGTGGTCCCAGAATAGACCCCTGAGGCACACCAGAGGTGACATTAATGAGACGGCTGTGTCTAACCTTGTCGAAAGCCTTAGACATGTCAAGGTACATAACATCAATTTGTTTGCCATGGTTGATCAGGCTTCCGATATAATCCAGCACTTCTATAAGCTGTGTCACACAATTTACCTGCAACAAAGCCATGTTGAGTGGAATTGACTTGGCAAGAAGTGTGACCAGAAGCGTTTTGAGTTGGTTGTCCTATCGTTACAAAGAGAGTGGATGTAAGCTAATCTACTTTCCTTCATCATCTGCTTGACCAAGGTTCGCACAGACTTGTATCTGTTTAACAAATGTTCTGTTGGTGATCTTTTAAGACGTTTCCGAATATTGTTTTTCTTTTTAATTTTGTGTAGTATATCTTTGTTGATCCATGGAACTTGGTGACGGTTATGGAAAGATTTGAATGGAATATGTTTATTAACCGCATTAAGAAATGCATCTTTCCAGCATCACTAATCACTATCAATGTCACCATCAGCAGTTATTAAACTAAAAAGATATTATTTTACGATATTGTCAATGGAATGGTGCAGAGCATCCAGATCACCACGACGATAATCGTAGATAGACCTGCGTATCTTCTTTCGGTGAGACAATTTCTTGCATCTTGACCATGTCAGGTATACTGGTGATAATGAGATCCAGAATATTGCTATTTCTTCTTGGTGTCGTGTCTATTTGAGTTAGAAAGAAATCTTTGAGGATCTCCGTGAAAGCAAGTTCATGAGATCCCATTACAATGCTTTGATCGTCTTTCCAACATACGTGTGGCATATTAAAATCTCCTGAGAGAACAACGTTCTGATACTTGTTACATATATCTTTCATGTACTTTTCAAATTGATTTAACCAAATTTGATTAACACTGACATTAACACCTTGACGTCCTCTATCTCTATCGTTTCTCATGACGTTGTGAAAATTTTGAAAAACATTGAAAACAATCTAAGTTACTCACGGTTGCAAAGTCTGATGTATGATGAATGTTTAACAAGCTTTGTGCGTTCAAGGCAAGACATTTTAACATGTTCTGCACGTCTCTAGGTCCAGGGTTTCTTTCCACATCGCCAGATAACCAAATAATTAAAATTGAATAACTTGCATAAAGTACTAAACGGCATCCAACAAGCAACTTTAATGAATCAGGCAGTTCGTTATTTTTTACCTTTGAATGACGCACGCGACCGTTACTCACAAACACAAGAAATTTCACCATGGAAGCTTCTTTAGACAAGTACAACATTTTGTGGTTACACAGTGATGTAAACGTAACACCCTCGTAATGATGGAATCCCAGAAATGGGGAGAATAGAGTAGTAGCTGGACAGATTTACGAGTGGCCTAGAACCTATCTTTTCCCTGCACAAGAAATTGATTAAATAAATAAGCTCCTCACTTTAACTTGTAAATTTATTTTTGGAATAATCAACACTGAGTTTCTGTTAGTATAATAGTAGTTAATATCTGTTAGTTCTAATGGGCCCTTTTTTAAACAGGTTGAAACACAATGATGTTAAATTTTTACTTCTGGGGTTAAATTTCGTAAATTTTTGGTAGGAATGTTATTTTTGTGTAATATATTGTGAAAATACACCCCATGTTTTAAAAAAAAAACTTTTGTAGAAATGTTGGAAAATCAGGGGTAAATTTTGGAAATATATGGTACCAATGTTGTTTATATGTATTATATCGTGAGAACACACCCCATTTTTCAAAAAATGATGTATGTTGGTAGAAATATTGGAAAATTAGGGGTAAATTTCTGAAATATATGGTAGACTGTTGTTTTTGTGTAATATATCTCAAAAATACACCCATTTTTCAACAAATAATGTATGCATTGCCAGCCAATAAATTGTTGCAATCCTACTATTTAGACAAAATATTGTTTCAAGTCAAATAGACTCAAATGAGACACCATTCTCCTTGAAAATAAAAATAATTCACCAAGCAATATGAATCAAACTTCAACTTCCAGGTAAGTCTCGTTTAATTTATTAATTATTTGTTGTTTATAAATTTCTCGAATATTTGTTTTTTAATTCTCTGTCCTATAAATATTGTATTTGGAGATAATTAATTACCACCTCTGGCAATAAGCTCGCTATATATTTTTATATTTCCAGGCCTGTTCATGCATTTATTACGCTAAATAAACTTTGTCTTGTTTTAGAATGAATGCAAAGGTGTATTACAATGTATTAAACCATACAATGTTACTTATTAGGGGATCCCAATTAGTAATTATTTAATTAGTTTTGCACTTATTAAATAAACATTTTAGGTTTCACTTACGTGAACTGAAGGATATATGTCCTGAACGCAATGGAGAAAATGTTTGTCCAGCATGCCCTAAGATAATTTAAAGTTTTGGCAATACCCTGTATTTGCTGGAGAAACGAGGTATATCCGTGGCTAAAATGCCGTTTTCAACCACGGAAAACAACCATGGATTGCGCATGTCCATGCTCTCGGCATTCCGTCATATTTCGGCTCAAGTAGAACAACATGGCAACGACGGTGGGTATTTCTGGTTGTTTTATGTCTAGTTCATTTGAATAAATTTGCATAAGCAGATAAGGCAAGGAGGGAAAATGAAAAACATATTGTATAATCGATTATACTGTGGCCAAATCGTTAATGTAACTCGACTAGGCTTTGTATTTAACTAAAAAGCGTTTGAATTTATGCTGTTTTAATATGCTGTTATACACAGAGTCACGAAGCTGGGGTTATACCGACTTGCAGTGGAGATCTGCGAAATCGTAAAGGGAAGAAGGTAGTTATATTAATATCCATAGGCATCCCAAAAAGAATAAGCTTGTGCCATCAATGTTTATAATAATAATGATGATGATGATGATGATGATGATGATAATAGTAATAATAATACACATAGGTGGCGTATGAACCAAATCCCAAAAGAAGGACTCGCATTGACAGGGACTTCCAGAAGCGCATGAGTCGTTTGGTAATTATGATTACATTTCCATTATTGCATTGTAGCCCATGTCCTGTAAAATATATATATATATATATATATATATTTAAATTATCAATATTTTATATATATTTTTTTGGGGTAAAGGTTAAAGAATGGCATACTAGAACAAAGATACCAGTTCTACTTTTAACTCTACGTATGATTGTACGTTCAAACTTGTACAATGTACATTTTTTTTATAAATTTTTGCCTTCATTGTTGACTTAATTGTTTTCCTTCACCCAGGTATAAGCACTATATTGCATATACTGGTTTATTTGAAATGGATAATATACTTGTAAATCAGATAATAGAATCCTGTTTTAATGCCTAGGTGTAATTATGTGGTATAGGTACAAATAACATGTTTAGCTATGGAATCATTTATTAAACACATTTTCCTCTAGTTATATGTTTCTTACATATATACAATAACTCATGTTGTAGGTTCAAAAGGCCTTGACAGATTTGCCAAAAGTCCAATTGTCCAGCAAGAATTTGTCAGACACTGCATTAATAAAGTGAACAAAAACCAAGGTAATTAATACTGTACAGTATAATAAGGATACATTTTCAGTACCTTGATCACTAAAAGATTTAATATAAATATATAATTTGCATGAAAATTGCTAAAATTACTTGATGCTAATTGGTTGAGAGGAGTACAGTTAATTCACTGTGCCATGCCATTTAATTAGCCATTTTCCTGACATGTTCCACATTATATTATAGCAATATGGTGTACCAAAACACATACAGACATAAACTAGGGACAAAATTATGCTTTCATGCAGACACACAAATATTAATACATGAATATGTTATAATAACAATAATAATAATAATAATAATAACAATAATAAGGATCTATATAAATGGACCTTGCAACTGTGCCCATTACTTCCCTGTATAGGTGAATTAATCATATTTACATTTTCCATAAATTATCTTTCCTCTTTTTACATTTTCCATAAATTTGTCTCTCTTAGGATAGTATTAATTTGTATATATTAATTTGTTGTAAAACTTTCCGTATAAAATTAATGAAATCTGTATGGCTATGTAAATTCATTTCGTGTAAGCCTGTCTTGTTTATCTTCACCTTAATGATTTAGAAAAAGCAGAAAAGCCACAGAAAAAAGATGTCGATTTCCCTGTTGGAGAAGAAACCAACTATGAGGAGTTCACTGTGCCTGCATTAAGGAAAATGGTGCCATTAGCCATTAAGTTGGATGGTGTGTCATATATTTATCCAGGTTTAATAATTCAACCTATTGGTATTCAAGTTATGTTGTCTTAATTTTATTAAGGACGGAAAACATCTAAGTGGAATGATCCAACCATGAAGCCATCATGGTGGCCAGAAGATGTTGCATACAGGAATGCGAACTGGGGAAAAGACAAGCCGCATTTTGATGAGTTAGTCAAAATAATGGAAGCATTTAATAATGATTATTGTTGCATCAGTAGTAGTAGTAGGAATATTCATAGAGTTGAAAGTGGTTCAGAGAGTGGTCAAAGTGATGGTGGTGGTAGTGATGATGATAATAGAGGAGGTGATGCTGGTGATGATAATAATTATGGTGATGATAAAAGAGGTGGTGATGATGGTGATGATAATTATGATGGTGATGATAGAAGAGGTAGTGATGATGGTGATGATAATTATGATGGTGATGATAGAAGAGGTAGTGATGATGGTGATGGTTGTGCTGACTTTAATAATGGTAGTCGAGGATTTGGTGGTGGTGGTCCACTTGGCAACCAAGAGTGTGTGGAAGGAGGTCCATCAGAAATTGCTGGTGCAAAGGAAGATGTTGACGTGATGGAAATTGGAATCCATAGTCCTCTTAGCACAATACAAAGAAAAGAATTACAGATAAAAGCTGGTTAGTGCCAAGAATGCAAACATGATATTGACAAACATTGGCTTGTGGATATGGTATTTGTCACCTTGTTACTAACAAACTTTTTTTTAAGCATGCTTCTACAAGTAAAGATCCCTCTAGCACATTGGGGCTACTAAACTGCCTGAAGACTCAATCGACTTGGGAAGGATTTTTGGATATATGTAACATAATCAGCCCACATCTGCGCCCCCTGGCAATTTGTCATATTGGATTTATCACAAAAGACGTTGTCCATAAATGGTTAGTAATTTATTTTTCATAACATTTTGTTAAAGTACGTATATTTTTTTCGACTTACATTGACAATGTGTAAATCACTTCTTTGCCACTACTAAAGTGGGAGTCTGGGGTATGCGTACTGCATCCCGCGATAGGCTCAGTTCTCATTAGACACCGCAGTATATGTAGCTATGTTATAAAATGTAATGATTTTATTGTAATTCAATTACTTTGGTTTTCTTCAGTACGGAATGGCATTAAAAACATTTAAGGTCAACTAGTTTGTAAATATTTACCTTTTGTAGTTTACAAAACCAAGTTCCGCAAGAATTACTCGATCAGCACTTGGAGCCGGGAAAAGTGAAGAGTGATGGCAATTGCCTCTTTCATGCTGTTGCAATGGCAATAACTCTGGGAGATTCCCTTAACCAGTCCTCAAACCTGGCTAATCTACTTCGCTTATATGCGACTGTGAACGGTGCCACAAAAATGAATGGATTCGTAGAAAGGGTATTGCAATAATATATATACATTATAACATGTCATGAGTAACATTTTTACCATTTATTTTTTTCACCACTGGCTGAACCTACCATTATTTAGCAAAGCATTTGAACATATAAAATGTAAACACTGCAGTGCTGATGTAAACATTGTGGCAATGTGCATGAATTTAACAGTTTTCATCCAGCTAAAGCTAGAAACCTCTCTATGTATGTGAATGCTCTTCAGGCAGTGGCATTGTTTCTTGCAGATGTGTAAGAAATTTTGCCAGCCTGGCCAGCTTCAAAATCTTGCTCACACTGTCACAACGGAGGACACTTTGCGAAAGGTTTCCATTCAGGAATTGTCTGATGAACGTACCTTCTTTCAAGTTGTATATATGGAGGAGGTAAAGGCCACCGCAATTGATGGAAATTATTCCGGTAAGCGTAATTTTGGAGTTCTTAAAATATTCGTGGGCAAGTCTTAACGTTTATATTGTTCCAGGTATATTACAAGTAGCTTGGCTTGCAGATTCACTTGAGACGCGGATTTGCATGCATTGTCGCATCCCCGGTCATGATATATACGACCACAATGTAGGAGCTCGTCTTTGGGACCGAGAAATCCATATTCTTTGGGTCGATTTGAGTGGAACGCAAGGGAATAGTGTGCCCGATACAGCTAACCACTTGTGCCACTCATCAAAACACGAGACGACGGTAGGCTAAACATATGCGGCGTTCATCTGTATAAATATCAACGTGTCAAATACGCGTTATTTAACTTCCATGGTCACGCATACATTCGACGAAGCGATGTACATAAATGCACGTACATATACATGCGGTCATTTTATATTTTATAGAATTCAACTGTGAAAACACGTGCAATGCTTATAGATTCTGTCAACTTCAACGTGGCGGTGATGAGAATTTAATAAAGTGTTCATACTGTTTGCAGTGTTTTCATCCTGAGTGTGTCTTAGGTTCTGTGGATCAGCAATGTCAGCACGAGTGGAAGTCATGTGGATGCAATGTGGATTTCCTAGCAGTTAGGTTTGTGATATAAAATAATTTGTAGCTAACCGTGTACTGCATGCATGTGCATTTGATGTATTACCAATATAAGGCTATTACAATTTTGTGGCACTTCACTCGATGCAGAAATTCTGTATAAAGGTTCAAAAGGTTCTTAATTTCAAGTGGAATCATACAAAAGTCAAATTCAAGCCAGAAGCAGTTGAGAAAAACTATCGGTCCTCCGGCAGAAATCATACCTATATGTTTCACATTCATTTTTGAGGTGGGCAGTACGCGCTATATTTAGGGTGTTGTGAAACAAATCCTTCTTGGGCAGTACGCCTCGCAAAGATATTTGATGTTTCAACAGGAACGAAACTCCCAATCGATCAAAAAGGACAGTTTTTATCGTGGTTCGTTTGAAGAGGAAGGCATGAGTATTTAGTAACTTTAAGCTATAGGCATCAGAGTTATCTTAACATTCAACATGTAAATATATGCGGAAGGACATGGAACTCTCTTTGATGTATAAGAATGAGTCGTACATTTTTGAACAATTGGTGTATGATGTGTTGATACCTGAGGTATAGATTATACTCCATTTTTTTCTCAATTAGCTGTGATTGCCGTATGTTAAGGACAGAGGGGCCAGCCATGCAAATGATGATGATAATTTACATAAACCCAGAACCAGTCCGGTCCTATAATGTTATCGCATATGTCAAGCTCTATTTCCATATTTGTAATCATATTTATCAACATTTACTTTTAAGGCTTTAATCCTTATTATTCAAAACCATTTAAAAGTGAGTCACTTTGTGGCCGAGTGGTTCTTTAAAAATTCTATTTCGTTGTGCCCGCTTTCGAATGTCTAGGTAGGTGTATATATAGCTATACATAAAACTATATATATATTTGTAGCTTTTTTCACAAAAAATAAATGTGATTATCTTGTATTTTTCAGATTTTTTCGCATATTATATACAGCTTATAGATTATGAATATTGGTTTCAATCGTTTTCCCTCAAAAGTATTGTTAAAATGCTGTAGCCAATACATAAATATATATATATATATATATATATATATATATATATATATAGATAGATAGATAATACATATATAGATATATACATATATAGATATTATACAGTATATAATTATTAGAGCATAGTGTTATACGTATAGAGCCTGGGCTCTAACCTTCATTGTTTTCCATCATTCGTTAACGAATGATGTACTTGTAATAGTCCGAACTATCATCAATAAAGTGATCGCTTCGTGAAATAGATTCAGTCTTATTTATGATGGAAAACAATCTTGACACCTAAGAGCCCACCAAGAAGGCCAAGCGATAACAAAACAAGAGAAAAAGGGGCCTCGGAAGCCCCGAGAAACACGGCAATCACAGCAAACAAGCGAGAGCCGAGAAAGAGAAACCTACTACCTGAGACGAAGAATTCACTGGTTCAAGGAAAATCTGACAACCCAGGCAATGAGTGACACCTCAGGGACACCCACACAATTCGGTGCAACCAGGGTAATACAATAAGTCAGCAAGACAAGCGCAAATTCCCCCTCACCACAAACTAGCTTTTGGCGCCATTTAAGCGCTAAACAATAACATCATAACGAACAGCGCTAAACAATAATGAGCCCATACCATACACCAAAAGTCGACATAAGGAAATACGCAACATGCCGAGATACAGATGCCCACACCCAAGTTGCGAGTACAAGACAGAAGAAGCAGAGGGCCAGCTCGCAGCAGTGTTATTACAAATACACTCATCGGGCACCCATAACAACACACAAACCACACCACCAACCCCACAGGCCACAGCCAAAGTCGAGAAGGTTAGAAGACCAACAATTTCCACGGCTGGATCTAGTGAGGAATGGACATATTTTCAAACACGGTGGCAAGATTACGTCGAAGCGACTAAGATAACTGGCAAAGACAAGGTCGTGCAGTTATTGGAATGTTGCGACGAGACACTCCGCAAGGACCTCACACGAAACGCAGGCGGCACCCTGACTAATAAGCCCATCGACGATGTCATGGCAGCAATACGTAAACTTGCAGTGCGAGAGGAGAACACCATGGTGGCTCGAGCCAAACTATATAACATGCACCAAGACCGCGACGAAACCATACGCAGCTTTGGCGCTCGCCTCCGTGGACAAGCGAGCATTTGCAAGTTCACAACCAACTGCCCCAACTGTACAGCGGAGATCAACTACACTGACAATATCCTTCGCGACACATTAACCAGGGGAATCGCAGATAGTGACATCCAACTTGACTTGCTCAGCGACAAAAATCAAAACATGACCCTGGAGGAAGCATTCCAGTTCATTGAAGCCAAAGAAGCGGGCAAACGCTCTGCAGGCCACCTCCTTGATAGCCAGAGCGTAGACTCTGCAAAAAGCCAATATCGCCGTGGCAAGCAGGATGAACTCACACAGAAAAAGCAAGCAAACAAGAATATCTCGTGTTCCTACTGCGGTAAACAAGGCCACGGTAAAACCGCAACACCCAGAATCCGCCGACAGGAATGCCCTGTCTATGGCAAAACATGTGAGAGCTGCAGACGCTCCAACCACTACGCTAGCCTGTGCAGAAGCAAAGACAAACCCAAGATCCGAGATACAAAACATACCCCTAACAAAGAAGAGGAAAACGCAGTATTCGACAGCTTATGTATGACCAGCAACACCCATAAACATTGCAATACAATTTCATTGGACCACCACATCTACAATGACCTCAACGCCCGCTGGGTGAGACAGCCGTCCAAACATCAACCATACCTCCAAATCAACGCCACATGCCATCCAGAAGATTACCACGCCCTTGGTTACAACCTGACATGCACCAAACCACGCCCCGCCAAATTAGAAGCCATGGCAGACACTGGATGTCAGAGCTGCCTTGCCAGCATGGGCATGATAGCACGACTTGGACTGCAACAGAAAGACCTCATCCCAGTTACTATGCGTATGCACGCAGCAAACAACAACGGAATCAAGATCATCGGTGCAGCTATCGTAAGATTCTCTGGTCAATCCAAAGACGGAAAAACGTTAGAAAGTCGACAAATCGTCTATATCACCCAAGACTCTAACAAGCTATTCCTCAGCCGCGAAACATGCACAGCCCTAGGAATAATTACCAACACATTCCCGACCGTGGGAGAAGCCCTGCATGTCGACAGCCATACTGATGACCCACCGAACAGACAATGCGACTGCCCTAAATGCCAATTACCACCACCGAAGCCCAAGGAGTTACCTTTCCCGGCCACTAACGAAAACCGAAAACAATTAGAGAATTGGCTACTCGATTACTATCGGTCCAGCACCTTTAACACCTGTGACAAACAACAACTACCCCTCATGGAAGGCCCACCGATGCGCCTCATGATCGACCCGAAAGCTCGCCCAGTAGCCCACCATACGCTACTCTAATCCCAGTTCCTCTACATTGGCAGGACGAAGTAAAAGCCGGACTTGACCAAGACGTCGCACTCGGAGTCATCGAACCGTACCGATCGGCGAACCTGTGACCTGGTGCCATCGGATGGTCATCTGCGCAAAAAAAATGGGAAACCGCGTCGCACAGTAGACCTCCAAGCACTTAACAATAACGCCACTCGGGAGACCCATCACACACAAAGCCCATTCCACCAGGCAAGGTCCATCCCAAGTGGCAAGAAAAAATCAGTGTTCGACTGTTGGAACGGCTATCACAGCGTCCCTCTCCACCCAGATGACAAACACCTCACCACATTTATCACCCCGTGGGGTTGCTACCGATACAGGTCTGCACCACAGGGTTACATCGCCTCAGGGGACGGCTACTCGCGCCGATTTGAAGAGATTGTCTCCGACATCCCCAATAAAACCAAATGCGTCGACGACACGCTGCTTTGGGCGGACAACCTCACTCAGAGCTTCTTCCAAGCCGTCAACTGGTTAGACATCTGCGGTCGCAACGGCATAACCCTTAACCCGGAAAAATTCATCTTCGGATCAGACACAGTCGAGTTCGCAGGATTTGAAATCACGCCCAACACGGTCCGCCCCTGTCAACGCTTCATCGACGCCATCCGCCACTTTCCAACACCGACTAATATCACAGATATCCGCTCCTGGTTTGGCCTGGTTAACCAGGTCTCCTATGCATTCGCAGCAACCGAACGAATGCTACCCTTTCGTCAGCTGTTAAAACCTGGCGCAACATTCCTTTAGAACGAACAACTAAACACAATCTTTGAAGAATCTAAATCTGTCATCATTAAGGAAATCAACCAAGGCGTTCGTATATTCGACAAGTCACGTCCCAGCTGCCTCGCCACTGATTGGTCAAAAAACGGAATTGGCTTCTGGTTACTTCAAAAACATTGCGACTGCCCATCCGCTGAACCCTCCTGTTGCCATACCGGTTGGAAAATAACTCTAGTTGGAAGCCGCTTCACACATGCAGCCGAATCTCGATACGCACCCATCGAGGGAGAAGCACTCACAGTAGCGGACGCCTTAGATAAAGCCAGATTCTTTGTCCTCGGCTGCACTGACCTCATAATCGCCGTAGACCACAAACCTCTCCTCAAACTATTTGGCAATCGATGATTAGAAGACATCCCCAACCCCCGACTACGCAACCTCAAGGAGAAAACACTGCAATATAAGTTCCGAATGATACACATCCCAGGTATCCGCCACAAAGCAGCTGATGCGATTTCCCGCCACCCCACAGGTCCCACAAACCCCACCATGCTCCACCTCGAGGACGACATCGCCATGACAGAAGACCTTACCACCCCATTTCCACTAAACGGCCACAGGCGCCCCTTCCTCGACGGAATCCGCCACCATGAAACAACGCCGAATCCCGGTTACAACCACAATGACACGATTACCTCCGTGGCATCCACGACACTAACCAGCATGGCCACTACCTGGGACAGGGTTCGCACCGCAACCGCCAGCGACGACACATTGAACGAACTCATCACCATGATCGAATCAGGCTTCCCTGAAAATTGCCATGAACTACCGAAAACACTACAGATATACCACCAATTCCGTCACAGCCTCTACACAGTCGACAGGGTTATCATGTATAAAGATCGTGTTGTCATCCCACCACCACTACGCCACAACATCCTGCAAACGCTACACTCCGCCCACCAAGGGATTTCCTCCATGACATCTCGGGCCGAGACTTCAGTATTCTGGCCTGGTATGACCCCAGACATCATAGCCATGCGAACCCAATGCAATCACTGTAACAGAATGGGGCGAGGGGGGGCGATCGCCCCCCCAATAATTTTAGCTGAAGCTTTCATTTTGAAAAGTGGAAGCACGAGAAAGTTTTCATTTCAAGAAGTAAACTGTAAAAGCACTACTTTATAACAACAGCAGCAAAATGGCGTTTTTTAAAAAAACAAGCGAAAGTATTCTAATCCCACAAAATAAGTGTTATGAAGGAAGTTTGGATAAAGAAATTTCTTACAAGTTACAACATGCTTGATGCTTCACATTTTTCCATTGTCATATGAATTTTGCTTCCCAAAGGGTTAGAAATGTTCACACATTGCATAAAAGACTTACAGCGAAAAATATACTAAGCACAAATGTACAACAGATTTAAGCAGCATGCTTCTTTAGAAACAATTTTAATCTTCTCATTTGACTATTGACACGACTTAGCCGTAGGCATAGCACTATCGATGGCTATAAACAATAATAACAACAGTTGAAACTTGAAAGTATCTACAGTATTAAGATGAGAGTTTAACATGTTTTTAATTAAAGGGTGCAATTCGGCTTTTTGATTTACCCAACGATCAAGCACTTTGTCCAAGTTTATCCTTTTTAACAGGTCTTTGTTCATCGATAGTAACATAAAGTCATTGGCCAACGAACTGTCTAAGCTATTACGAACCCAGCTCAATATCCGATTCATAGCACTGAAGCTTCTTTCCACGGTTGCAGTACCAACTGGCAAGGTCTTCGATATGGCGATCACCTTGAATAAGTTGGGGTACAACTCAGGGTCGATGTTCTTTCCAGCCGCAATTAGAATCTTCGCCCGTTCACACTCGGTTTTAAGCAAGGGAGAGTCAATATGGAGACAATCTCCAAATTTGGCAATGACACTGGACAGAGTCGTGTAATCCAGGTATGTCGATTTTGATGCATCTAAAGCCTCCAGAGCTCCCAGTATATCAGTATTCTCACCAGAGAAACGTCGTTCCAACTCCTCGAGGAGCGTGGGAACAGAAGCTGCCTTGAGACGATTACAGAATTCACGAGGGCATGCAGATCTTGTGGAATCTTGTCTGGAAACATGCACGGGATCCTCATAGTCCAAGGTAATGTTCACAGTCGAGCATAGCTCTTTGGCGGTTTCAATGATGTCGTTGGTTTCAATCTCAACAAGAAGCTTCCTTACAGCCACCATTTCGTTGGCTACGTTTAGCCATTTGACATTGGTCTCTTGCATAGCCTTACTTAATCCATGCATTATTGACAAAAGCTGATGAAGAAAGCAAAGGGAGATAACAAATTTTCCCGAGAGAATTTTGTGATAGAGACCCGCTGCTGAATCGGCTTGTTTTGACCGATCTTCTGAAGGCTTACAAGAATCGCTCGGAGTCTTTTAACCATTGTATTAACACCCTCAAACTTACAAGCCCATCGGACTTCTGTAAGAGAGAAGGCTGCCATTATGGGCTGTTTTGGATAAAACTCCTTTTGAACAGCTTCGAATATTTCTCTGTTGCTGGCGACGTTGAAAATGGTGTGTAAAGCCTTGTAGACATTTATTACATTACATGCTTCATTAACTGTACGAAAATAAGCTGCAACAATCAAATTCAGACGGTGCGCAGCACAGTGGATATAAAGCAACCAAGGATAATATCTCCTCAGTTTAGCAGCTACGCCTTCGTAACATCCGCTCATAACAGATGCGCCATCTGCTCCAAGCGCCAGAAGAGTGGCGGACGAGCTCAGTTTTTCAATTGTTGCCAAAACCGCTTCATTCACAATGGTCTGGGCATTAGTCTCTTTAAGTCTAGCGAGATCATAAAATCGTTCTTCGATTTGTCCTTCGTCGTTTACAAACCTAAAACAAGTCGACAGCTCTTCATGCCCCGCATTATCTTTGCATTCATCGATGAGCATTGAATACATCCCCGCTCTGTCTATCTGTTCCTCTATCAGATGTCGAACCTCGGAAGCCATGGCTCTTATCAACTCGAGCGAAGATCGCTTTGATGTGTAGTCGTATGCTTTGTATGTTTGAATCACCCTCCTATGCAGTTGTTTGAATGTTGGGTTAGTGCGTAGCATCACATTGATGAATTCTTTCCACTTTCCTGCATTGAGCGACTCGTCAGTTTCATTGTGCCCTCTATACGCCACCTCTTCAGAACAAAAGTACTGATGATACTCCAACAGCGTCTTCATGTATTCTCAATTGTTTTCCACTAAAGACGGTCTTCCAGGATCTAACATATTTCCAATACTAGCCCCTGGATTATTTTTCTGGATGTTGTAACTTTCCCAGCGAGTCATGGAAAGGAGGTGATCAGAGCATGCGTCATGGGCTTTAAATCCGCGATTTTTTTCCATCGCCTTTGACCAGGTAGAAAAACCAACTTTAGTGAATGCTGTGTCGCTCTTTGACGTCGATGTGCTAAAGTTCCTACACGCAAAACAAAATGCTTTGTCTTTTGCAATGCTGTATTCAAGCCACGGATAACTTGTATACCAGGTTGCTCGAAAACAACGATTCTTCTGGCCTCTCGGATAGGATCCAAGGTTTGGCTGCGAGGGCCCATCCACCAAAGTTCCAAGATCACTCACTGCAGAGTCTAGATCAACTGGACGAACTCCCACTTGCGGCGGCTGAACAACACATACTGAAGGAGTCAACGGAGTAACAGCAGCAGATGTTGACGGGATTAGAGAGCTTGACACTGTATCGTTGTCAGTAGTCCTGACGTGAGCGCTATCTTCTTCGTTCACTGTTGTGGTTGCCACAGCTCCAGCTGTTAATGGTGCTCATCTGATTCATTAGTCACTTCAAGATTTGCTCTTTTAGCAAAATATGAAGTTATTGTGCGATTTGCAGTCCTCTTCATATTGTTGAAGTTCGCCTCTCTTAATTGTTTCACCCGTCTCAACAATTCACAATACAATCACTCACGATAAGTTTAAAATATATATTGGAAAATGGATTTCAAAAGATTCACAATTTCACATTCACAGTGTACAGACTTTAGCCATATGAATAATGCATGTTTTGCGCTTAGCTATTTATACTAACGGGTAGGTGTAAATTATGACCTAAATTCTAGATATAGAACTATGACATAATTTCTGATGCAATACGGTAATACTTTATGAGTAAGCGAATTTATCGACAGCCAATGACTAAGCTTAATCGTGTCCAATTACGTCAGTCTGTAGGCTCTAAACGCCTATCCGGTATGGTTTTCGCGTCGCAGCGGAAGAGCCTGATACTCAGTTACAGCGAAGGTTATCCAATACAGTGTAAACATGGCCTTAAGTGGCTGTCAAGTCCGTCCTGCGCACGATTTTGTATTGTTTATTTCTTTGTTTGTTCGGAAGCGTTTTGAAATATTCTATAATCTGCTCATAAACACTGTTTTTTTCCCGTTTAGCGAATGGTTGTAACTTCGTATTTAACATGAAATTAAATGTATTAAATGTGTATTTTACATCAGAGAATGATAAACTTTCTATTTTTAACACATACAACAATTATCTTCGTTAAATAGTAGCATATATACATTTTGTTGGACACATTACTGCGACTCGCAGTAATGTGTCTGCGAGTCTCGTAAGTAAATGTCATCATTGACATCGCTGAATGGTCGAAATTGTTTAAGTCACAAATGTAGATAATCATCCAGAATATTTTCTCTGAAATGTTGTTTTTTTTATGCTTAGCATGTGATTTATAACAAAATGCACCATTAAAATAGTGTTTTGAAAACCTAAAATTATTTACAAAATGTATTCTCAGAATGCTGCAAATGCCATTTCAGAGATCCAAATTTTAAAAATTTTCCGGGGGAGCATGCCCCCGGACCCCCCTAGACAACAAAAACCCTCGTTATAGTCGATATCTAACAGTTGCAGAAACGAGTACCAACTTGCTTGCCATTGCTTCAGAGAAATGATCTCTCGCAAATCAGCCTTTCCGCCATCATTCATCACTTCGGACCAAACGTTATAGTAGGTATACATAGTACATCTACAATAAAAGATACAGAAAGGCATACACAAGTAATTAATATGTTATATTCGATATCATTGAAACATAACTTCGCATCTACTGATTCGACTCAACCTTTGTTAATAACGACAAAAATTAAAACAATGGTAATATATGTTGATAAATGATATACATTTTAAAAAGCAAGTAACCATCAAAACATACATCCCCATCAAAAAGTGAAACATGAAGTCGCGTAAAATGTCATACGAAATGACAAATTTACCCATGTTCAAAAGGGCAACATCACTGCCATCGTATTCAAGACGTTGGCCACACAAAGTGTTGGAACAGGGGCGGTAATACACTGAAAAGCATAAAATATATACAAAGATGTAAACTTCCATGCATAAAGCATTTTGGCCTTATGTAAGTCGCACAATTCAATCTCAATCAGCTCAATAAGGAATGATTATATCTCCATTTCTACCAATATGTCAGTTTTGTTTTTTTACGAACATACGGTGCTATGAAGTTGAATGACTGAATGTACTAGAGTACTTACTGTGATTAATTATGTACTCACCAAAGCATTTCAGAATGAACCTTCTTAAAATAAGGTTGCAGGTTTCAGATAACCACTCATAGGCAATTGGTGAGTCTGCTCGCCACGCCGAACCGCACGATGGACAGGCAGTAAATTTACTATTGACGTCCGGTAAAGTAGGGGTTAAACGTGCTCCTCCATCGTCCATAAGGATTTGGCATTCTGACGTTTCAAACATTACCTGTTTAAGCTGCTTCGGTAAAACAAATGGTATAGCCATATATGATTTGGAACGCAAATACCACGAAGCCTTTGCACATACACCCACATGATCATCCCTGCACTCATTGAACAATTCAACAAAATCAGGCATTTCATCATCATCTTCCAAGAGCTTGCTCACTTCCTTCACATGTTCACACGAAGCAGATAAAATACCAGAACACAAACAACATTGTAACTCACTTCGCTCCCAACATACAACTCCAAAACTGCTCTCCAGAACGACACATAAGAGGGAAGGGGATCCTGATACTGAATGAACGGTCAGTGGCAGCTAAATTGAAAGATACAATTTCCACAACACACAAAATTAAGAGTACATGTTCTGCATGTATCTATGCATATGGTATACATATTAAAATTGAATTATGAAAAAAAGCTCATAGAACAGAAATCATGTTCTTTATACCTGATCAGTGCTGCGTTGAACAACTTCACTAATGGCAAACTGAGTAGCATCAATGTCATTTTGGTTGTCAAAACCACACAATATTTTCTTCAAAGACTTCACATGAAAACATGATTCATATTGCTCAACAAAATCTAAAATACAATGATTAGGGATAGTCTTTTACTGTTATATTGATATTTTATTAATTCAATATTTTGTTTAGTTTGTAAAATTCTGGTGGTATGCATTCTTTCTGATCATATTAATTAATTCAACATAGGATATGGTCCCATAATAATAGCGAATTATTAGAAAAAGAAATATTAAAAAGGACTCAGGCATGTAAAGTAAACTTACCAGGATAATTCATTTCAACAAGGAATGCCACTCCAGATGTCAAGAACTCTGTGATCCTTTTATTACAAGAGCATGCATAGCACCATTTTGTTCCACATGAAAATTTGTGTGGTCTCCTTGTTACTAAAACAAACTTTTTACTCTATAGTAAAAAGTAAAATAACACAAAAAAGCATATGTACAATATTATAGTTATATGTACCAGTATTTATCAATTTTGTCTGTAGTAGTAAAAATAAACATGTCACACTTGATGGTACATTACCAGAAATGTCTTTTCCTTCAAAGAATAATCACGCAGAAGAAAACAAACAATGCTCAATGTTGTGATGGCATTTTGCCCAATTAGTTCCATGCAATAAGAATCGATGTCGCCAACAGCTGATGATCCAACCACAATGCCTGATGATTCATGATCAGAGCCAACGTCATCGGTTTCCTTATAATTAGTATATATGTATAATTGGGTCATGTATATAAAGATTTATGGGTGTATAATCATAAAATAATTCCAATATTCAGACTATTTACTGAAGTTTGGTATTATTTTTTCATTGCGAATGAAATTCTTTGGCCAATGTAGTCAAATTTGGACTAAATCCTAGGGTTTGTTGAAAAGGAAAAGAATTCATGGCCAGTGTTTTTTTCTTCGGTTTTTTTTGCTATTAATGCCAGATATTTTTTAGAGAATGATCAAATATTATAGAATCAAATTCATAAATCATACATACAAAGGATGCAAATATAGCCTTGAATGTGCACCTTAAGTCTATTTCTGCATAATTTATGAAAATGGGTTCCATTGCTCTGACTTTGTTTGCATCTGAAATTACTGCAGACATGTTCTCACAGGGAATAGCATTAAAGGGAATTACAACAAAAACATACTCCCTCCAGGCATTCAAATGACCTGTAATAGCTTAAGTAAGAGGGGTAAATACAATCATCAAACAAATGAACAAGACAAAGTCTGTTTCAATACATTTTGAACATATAATGGCTTGTTGTCAAAAGGGAATCTCAGAATCTTGCATGACAGCATATATTAGGATCATGCATGGGCTTCCTTATCCTGTGCATATGCAAATTTAATCAAATGAACTAGACATAAAACAAACCAGAAAAACCCACCATCACCACCATGTTGTTCTATAAGACAAATATGTCTACAGATCTTCTTATATACTTAAAGTCTTTACTTTATTAAAATATTATTATTTATATTAAATCTTTCCAGTTTCCACTTTGCCCATTACCAAACAACCAAAATGAACAACCTTGCATAATTTAGTGACGGAAAAGTATCTTAAAATTATATATTTATTATTACTAAAAATATAGTGCCGTAAGTTTATATCCAACATAATTTATACAAGATAAACTTTTTATATTTAAATATATCAACCATACTTGCATGTTGTCAACCAGGTTTGTTGATGGTGATGAATTATCCCATCTTCCTTCTTCGCGAATATCTGGCAATATGTCCTCTTGTGCTCTTTGCTGCGGTAATTTCCCTTTATATTTCCTTTTCCTCTTAGCGAAAGTATGGTGTTTCGGCTCTCCCTCCTTCTGCCACTGTATCCTTTCCGCCATCTTTGTTTTCTAAAGTGAGATAGGGGATAATAGGGGATAGAAACTACAATGGACATGCGCAATCCATGGTTGTTTTCCGTGGTTGAAAACGGCATTTTAGCCATGGATATACCTTAAGAAACACAAAAAATAGCTAACTTACATGACATAATGATGTATGGAATCACTGTTTCAAGTAAATTGGATAACGACCGCAATTTAGAGTTACCGTCTTTTGTATTTCCTTATATAATAGGACAATATTGATTAATTGGGATTCTATCAGTCACCACAGAGCAGAGATTACATGAGAGAGCATGCATGCGCAATGCTGGTCAATCTTTAAAGATGCTGAAGTACCTAAAGAACAATAAACGTGCAGGCATTGCAGGAAGGTACACATAGGGCAGGCATGTAATCTCTGCTCTGCAGTAACTGATAGAATCCCAATCAAACTTCAACTTACAGGTAAGTCTCATCTAATTGATTAATTCCATCAGTCTCCACTGCAGAGATTCCATGAGATTTTAAAGCCTTAAGGGGCAAAGCAATAGATGCCATGAACAATAACACATCTAATTTATTGAATATGAATTGCCATGTCCATCTTACAGAACTGAGTAATCAGTTAATAGTATCTAATAAAATAGCTTGACCAAATTTGTCCCCATTATCCGGAGATCCAACTTTTCCTTGTTGTAAAATTTATTAAAGGTTGTAGCATTTTATGAGTTGCATTAAATCCCCACAGGCTAAAATTTGTGAACACTGCATTCAAATTTTAACAATGAGTGATTTCAATAGTTTTTGTTTTTTTGAGACACCCTGTATATGGTTCTCCTGTTCTGCGCTGGACCACCCACCCCCCACTTGTTTTTTGTTTCAGAGAGGTACCCCACCCTAGGAAAGATGCATCAGTGTTTATTATATGATTGATATTACCATGGGTTATTGCCTTTTTCAATTGACATGCATTTGATGTCCACCAATGAATATCAGATAAGGCCTCCTTTGACAATGTCATAAGGCCATCAAAATTTCCTGTCAGTTATACATGTCAGTGTAGCTACTTTGGCCTCTGTCAAAGACACAGTCATATCAATGGAGTTCAATATGAATCCTAAATGCTGTATAATTTGTGTGGGTATTGTAACTGAGTTATCCTTGTGTGGATAAAGCCCAAGATTCTTTAAAAGGTTTATTGTATCTGTGATATTTGACTGGCATTCTGTGTATGTGTATCCCACAAGAAAAGAATCATCCAGGTAACCACTGGATAAATGTCCCCTTTCCCTGAGGGATGCAAAAACTGGCCTCATATGCTTTGTGAATAACCTTGGGGCCATGGAACCATGCCAGCCCCTGTGACAAACAGGTGAATTGGTAGAGTTTATTTCCCCAATAAAATTTCAGATACTTCTGACCAGGGCTCTCATTTTTAAGGAAATTTCCTTAAACTGAAGAAAATTTGACTCTTTTAAGGAGATTTTTAAGGAAACAAAAGTTTTAAAAATTTTTCAGGAATTTTCAAACATAGCTAAGGGTAATATTTTAATCATGAACACTTGTTACTAAAACCATTGACATTCCCAAAACAAACAATTCCCAAAAATAACACTGCTTATTACAGTTTTTGCCATCTGTTTTCATACCTATGTTAAGACGTTCACTGATCATATTCAGTTAAATTGTTTGTCGTTAGTTCTCGTGTCTTTGTTAAGTATTGGCAAATACCAAAGAAAGTTGTTTAGATGTACGCTTGTGGGCCTCCCTGTTAGTAGCATCACTCTTAACATCTTTCACCATGCGAAGGAATTCTGTGCCTAGCTTTAACTTGTGAGCATGCTTCCCTTGTGCTCTCATGCCTGCATTTGTATGCATCAGCCAGACCAGAGTCTCTCGTTTCAAAGAATTTCTCGAATGGGTCTTTATTAGATTCAGAAGACTAAAAACTCTCTCCACAGAAGCATTAGAAAATGGCAAAGGCATCATGCAAGCGACAACTTTACGAAGGTTCAGATACTTTAGGGATCCCTGAATAGTCTTTGCATGCAGCCGTTTCTGCCAAAAGGTAATAGATGACTCGTCAGGGATTAACTCTGTGGACTCTTCCAGCGACTGTCTCCTCCATTCCAAATCAGCACAGACAACGTCTGTCTCTTCGGCTAGGTATGGAAACATTGAGAAAAGCTCTTTCAATGATGCAGGTGAACACTTGACAGCGTTGCTAGGAATTAGGAACTCAACCAATCTAAATATTGGAGACTTCATGTCGAAAAATGATCTTATTTGCTGTATTAACTTGATTAGAAAATTTAGACAAGACTGTTTAACCCGAAGCACGGCAGCTGGGTCATTTCTGAGTTCATTCAATGTAGATGTGGCGAGGATTCCAATATACATCTTTTCTAAAGCAACTCTAATTTCTGTTCGTTCTAAATCAATAAGGAAGGGATCCTCTTCCCTGACCACATCCAGGATGATGAAATCGCTCAGAATATCTTTTAGCAACTTTTGAACTTTTTCTCTAAGATGGTGAAGAATGGGTTCTTTTGTTTGAAACTTGGTGTTAAACTCATTGAGTCGATGCAACTGAGCACTTAAAAACTCCAATTGAGCAAGAATAAATTTATTATTCAAGCCTTTCAAAATGTTATGTGCCGTGTAAGAGGGATCTTTTTTTTTTCGCCTATAAAGCCAGTGAAATACAAACGAAGAGCATCCCATTGGTCTAGAATTCTTGTTACGCAGCTCTCTAAAGATAGCCATCTTGTCTGCGATAATTTCAACAAATTGTGCGGTTGTACTTCTACCCACCTTTGAAATTGTTTGTAATTCTTCTGCCTTAGTGCTGACCTGATGAATTGGGAATAAATGTTTCTGCACAAATCCGCGAGGGTGGTAGACAATTTTAAACATGCTGGAGATGCGCAGAGGTGAATAATATGACAACTACATTTGATTGTGGCAACATGTGGAATATCTTTCTTCAGAAGAGCTGCAACGCTTAAATTTTCTCCAAACATGACCTTGCAAGTGTTTGATGAAAATCCAATAATATTGGAAATAGGTATTGACTTCTCTTGAAGTGCGACTTTCATTGATTGATAGAATCCCTTCGCTCCTGAATTGTTAGCCTCAACAATATCCAGAAACCTGTTGACTGGTTTTAGGTCATCATTGACATACATAACACACATCGCTAGTTGCTTTGCTGTTGATACATCAGTTGTCTCATCTGTCAATCGTTGACACTCTTGGGAGCAAAGCTCAACAGTAGGAAGGGACTTCAATTGTGGCATATCACTCAACTGGATTGCAGCTTCTGGTAGTGGATACCAACTATGTGGATGTGTAAAGTAATGTGCACTCCATGATGAGAACTTCTTCAGACTTTCCTTCACACAGTTCCCAAATGAGCGGCAATACTGCAACATGGACATGACTTCACTTTTAAAGTGCGTTGTTGAATGAAAGTGTTCAACGTCAAGAGTCATAAGCTTAACAAGTTTTTTTCGTTGTAACTGTATTTCCGTGTTATCTGGGTTAGACGGTTTATTCCCCATTCAATTAAGCTAACTGACTCAATTGTTTTCGCTGCTACGTTTTCTTGGGGACCATACAACGTTTTGGGTAGTGGAGAATGTATATCCCTGCGAATGCTTTGCTCGTTTTCTTCTAGAAACACCCTGCAGCTTTGTATTAATTCTAATGCAGATTGCAAGTTGAATTTGTTGAAGGATTTGCCTTTTTCTTGTACTGAAAATGCTTTGTACAAATAACCAATAGCCTTCAGGAAACTGACAGTGTTAATTAATGGAGAGATGATAAGTATAGTTCCAGACATCGCATCAGCGACGTAGACAACATTGTCAAATTCGACAGCAATTCCACTTGGTTGTCGAAAGGTGCATTCGGTAACTGGTCCGTTCACACTGTTTTCATTTCCATTTCCAGCAAAAACTTCCAACTTAGATGGTTCAATTGTGTACTTATAAATCTTATGAATCATTGGATTGCTGAAGATGATATCAGAACCTCTTCGTCTGATTTGATACGGATGGCAACCATCTCGAATGTTATCAACAACATGAACGGAAGCAGAAGCAGTTGCTAACTCAATCATTTCGATTCCAACAGATGTGACTGCGAATAATTTTGATGAAACAATACAAAGACTAAATATTGTTTTCCAGCAAACATCATAGGAAAAGACGCTCTGAATAGAACCTCGCACACCAACTCCACCCAAAGAAGTTGTGACAGCAACAATGGCATTATCAGTGGAACAAGCAGCATGCAACTACTGGCTATTGTTCAAAAAGATTGTCACTCCAGAAGTTAATCGTGCACTTTTCGAAGCCATTCTCCACACATTGCTTTTCGACATTTTTCTTGTTTAAGGTAAGTCTCTCTTTCATCTGGTTAACAGAACACTGTAGATCTAAAGGAACGTTAAGATCCTGGCATTTAGCTTTCATGTGCGCTTTACTTAACTTTGCTGCACTTAACTTTTTGACATCCAAATTCACGGCATGTCCTTTATCCAAGATCGTGATTTTGGAATGATCTCCGCACAAGTAAACAATCCCATCTAAAAAGTGCACCTCTTTTGCCTCGATTTGTTTCTTTACAATACAAAACTTGTCTAAGGGAGAATGTAATCTAGCTTTTACCAAATCTGAGTTTCCATTCTCTTCATTAAAATTGCAAAGAAAATACAACCAACCATAGGAACCCAATGCAACACTAATTGGTTTAGGATACATGCCAGGCCTGTTGTCAGCCATGAATTTACATGTTTTAGGGATGATTGTAGTGCAAACTAAACCTAAACTGGACAAGTAAGTAAGCACAGAGTCGTTTGTCAAGGTTAGAACAGCGCACGGGTCTTGATGATCTCTATTTCAACATGATCGTTTTTCAGGATTAGTTTTCTCATAGATTGCTTGATGGTATCTGTGGATCTGTTTCTTAGGCTGCGAATAACTGCTAGGTTGGACCTTTCTTCACCCAGTTTCAGATACCAGTTGGAAAATCCAGCTTTTAAACTTTTGCCCACGTGAGGCACATCAGGAATTGGCGACAGTAAACAGAGGTCTGGATCAATGGAGCCATCTTCGATCGATTTCTTGATGATTGTGAATGCCGCTTTGTTTCCCTCTTCACAATCTGCAGTTAAAACCAGAAACACCCGGCGCGCGCACACAGCTGACCTCTTTCAAGACAGTTGACACATGTTCTTAAACATGGCAAGTGACTTATGTGCCCTTGTCTTTTACATTCCTCACATACCGAGTTGTTCGATAAGCAGGCATCACATCGACTTTCGCAAATGTTGGTGTATTTGAGAATATGTTCAATAGGAGCAATTTCCTTAACACACGATTCACAGATTTGCAAAGTTTTTTATGGTCAAAAGCAGCGACTTACTGATTGCTTCTCCTGTTTTTACACTTTTGGGTACGTATTCTGTCACGCAAGGGAGGCTTACCTCATTATAAATGGTCGTGACCAAAGAAATAACGACCTCAGTAACGATGTTCTCACTCAAAAATTCCGGTGTAACTTTGCCATTTCTTTTCACAAAATCAGTGTCTACATCAATATCCAAGCCAACACATCTTTTGAGCCTTGAATCGAACTCAATGCTAGGCTTGATAGCGTTTCCATCATTGCTTATTGCGCATGGGATTACATGGATGATGTCAGAGGCAATAAGAGGAACAGTTCAACTGTTATTTGTAGCTAGTTTTAATTGAGAAAGGCAGAGGGACTTAATAACCCCAGATTGGACAGTATAACCTGCTTGCTGCTTGTTACTGTTGTAAATAGTAAAATTCACTGATAATCACGGGTATAATTTGTATAAATCTCGTGTAATTTCTCACATAAATCGCACAATAATAATCAGCACAAAAAAAACAGCATGCTTTCTCCGCGAGCCGAAACCACGCATCTCGCGGGACAATCACATATACTGTTCTGATTACGTCATTTTCGACACACACCCCTGTTTGACTACGACGTAGTGAAACACATCCAAACACAACTAAACAATTTTTGACATTAAATAATAACATTCAATAGTGGTTAATGTTTAAATGTCAACACTGTGTTCTTGCACAAGTTCCTTGATCCGCAACTCAGCTGCTGTGGCTGCATCTCTCTTGGGCTTCATTCGAAACTCAGGAGCTTCAGGGTTCAGTACCACTGCTTCGGGTTGGTCTACCCCCGAATCACAAGACAGTTCGATAGCATATAAAAACTGTACCGCACGTTCCACGATCAACTTTCCAGTGCACACTTTCGCGCCTTGAACAACACCATCTCTCCCTATGATCAACTTGATTATGATTCCAAGTACCCATGCGCCACAATTTCTTTGTTCAGATTGAATAATAACCACTTCTCCGACTGTGGGTATTCCTCGTCCTTCTTTCTTCTTTGCGATGTATCTTTCCCTAAGGCTTCGAAGATAATCCGTTGACCACTGTTTCCAAACGGTGTCTTTACATTTCTGCAGATATTTATATCTCTTTCGCAAGTCCTTGTTTTTGATTAGATGATGGGAAGGTTCCAAGAGTTGGTTTGATCGCAAAAACAACAACGAATTGGGAGTTATCACGGTTGATTGAACATCATTTTCTTCGACATATCCTAGGGGTCGGTCGTTTAGTGTAGTTTCAACACTCAGTAAGACGGCTTCGAGCTCTTTCCAACTTAATTGACCGTGACTGATCACTTTGTATAGCGCTGTGTTTACTATACCAACCAATCTTTCGAATTGCCTGCCCCACCATGGGGCGCGGCTTAGATTAAATTGCCATGATATTCAGTTTCTAGCCAGGTAATCTTGCAATTTTTTGTCTTTCTTCACCATTTTCACCCACTTTGCTGCCGCTACAAACATCGCCCCGTTATCGGAGTAAATGCGCTCAGGAAGACCGCGTCTGGCGATGAATCTTTGGAGACTGTTTAGACATTCTGACGTCTCCATGTTGGGAAGAAGTTTGAGGTATACACCACGAGTAAGACTACAAGCGTATAACAAGACGTACGCCTTGCTTTCTTTTCCTTTTGACTTTCGATAACGTAGTGGGCCCGCATAATCGATCTTGATAACTTGGTATGCAGTGCTTCCTTCTGTTCTGGTGGTTGGTAAGTTAGCTGGAGGGGGCGTTGCATAAGCGATAGCATGGAATCTCTTACACCCATGGCAATCTTTGATGACCCGCTTTACCAGTCGTCGTAAACGAGGGATCCATAAAGTGTAGATTTGTGGGCATGTTCCACGAACTTTCTTGCTAGTCATGATGAATCGGGAATGTAGATTGGGTAAAATCCTTGAACTCTTCTCTACACTCAAAAACACCGTCTTCATTCAATTATAGATTAAGTTGCAAATGATCTCTCTCGAAGGTTTCATCAACTTGTCTTTGAGCCTTGCAAATCAGAAGTCTCTCCGATTTCTCTAGATCATGCATTGTAAGAGGACCAGTAACTCTGCTGTTCGGCTTCCGTCGAGTATTCCATAGAAACCTCAATATCCATGCCGTAACTCATAGGGACTTCCAATAGGTAAACAAGTCTCCTAGAGCGTCATCTTCTTTCTTAGCCAAACCCAACCTTGTCAACTCAACTTCTTCATCAGACTCTTTAGATCTGGCGGCCATGCACTGCGGTTACTCAACCAGCTAGCGCCCTTCCACCACAGCTGGTTTCTTTTGTCTATGAAACCCCCACGACTGGCAACGTCAGCCAGATTTTCTTTGCTAGGTACATGTCTCCATGTTACACCTTCGTGGTCAAGAATTTTCCCAACATGGTTCGCTACAAACGTTTTGTACTCTCCTTTACCGCGAATCCAGTGTAACGCGACGCTGCTGTCTGACCAGCCATGAAGTGATGCTACAGGAAATCCGTCCAAGGCACTTTGGACGTTGTCGAGTAAATTCACGGCCATATGCGCCGAGACCAATTCTTTCTTGGGGATGGTAAGCCCCTGCTTCGCGAGTCTTGCCTTCGCACAAACTAAACCTTGGCTTACTTGGGTTTCTTGAGTAACCACAGCATACATTACTACGCCAACACCTTGACCGCTTGCATCACCAAAGCCGTGTAGTTCTACGCTCTGTATGGGCTCTTTAGCTAATGGAATGGATCTCGGGCACTTAACTCGCTGAGGAAGATGATTTCCCCATTTCTGCCAACGTTTGGACAGTTCTTCAGGCAGTTCTGAATCCCATTTGCACCTGTTCTCGCAAGCCTCTCTGTAGAACAACTTGCCTTGCAGGATTGTAGGAGCAATGAAACCAAGTGGGTCATAAATTCTGGCTACCCTACCCAGAATGCTTCTTTTGGTTGGAACTACTTTATCGGATGGGATAGACACTTCAATGCTGTCCGCTTCCTTATCCCATTTCAAACCGAGAAGACAGCCCGTTTTGGACCTTCCACCTAACTGTTGTTTGGCAAAACTAGTGTCCTCATTACTGTCCAAATCTTCGCTTCATTATAATTCCTTAACATTGGATTGCCACTTGTGCAAATCAAATGAAGCTTCTCTAAATATTTCGATAGACGACGCCTTCTTTTCATGTACCTGCCGACAGAAGTTCCATCAGTTACCAAATCATCCACATACAACTCTTTCTTAATTTCTTCTGCATGCTTGGGGTGCTTCTCTTTGCTCGCATCTTGATGACTTTGTAGCCGCTAACAAGAATGGTGACGGTCCCATGCCAAACAGGGCTCGAGTGAATCTCAGAGTGCAAATACGTTGGGGATTCTTATCTTCCAACCAGTGGAATCTCATTGCATCTCGATGCTCTGGCCCAATACGCACTTGAAGAAATGCTTTATCAATGTCACCATTGAGTGCGACAGGGTGGAAGCGTCCTCGAACTAGCACCTTAAAAAGTTGATTCTGTAGGGGTGGACCTGTGTTAAGACAGTCATTCAGGGATGGTTGGGAGCCGGTTTTAGAGGATACATCATAAACTATTCTCATTTTTGTGGACTCTGATGACTCACGAATGACAGGGTGATGGGGTAAATAGAACACAGTTCCGGTTGGTGGCTGATTTGCTGGTTCAACAATTCCTTCTTTGAGTTGCTCTTGAATAATTGAATCGTATTCATTGAATTTGTCTGTTTTTTTCAATCGCTGCACCAAGGTCCCGAAACGTTTCAAACTGATATCCTCATTTGAGAGTAAGGGCGGATGGCCTCCCTTGAAAGGGAGCCCAGTCTCAAACCACCCATGCACAGGATCACGCCGAAGTTGCTCCAAGAACTCTTCATGTACGACCTTCTGGTCCCCAGATGGTGTGTCTTGAATACCGAGAACATCCATGCAACAAAGTTCCTCATAATCGGATTGTGCAGTTTGAGGAAGAAACATGTTATCTAAATTGGTTATCTAAATTGGCGACATGATTGTCCAGCCAAATTGAGTGAATTCTGCCACAAGGTCTCCCACTTTGCCAGTTCTCTGCGGCTCACTGGTTTTGATCTTTGCATATTCTGCTGTCCCCAATATCAGGTGTACCGGAAGTAATGATTTGGTATCTGTTTCCACCATGCAAACGCCTTGTAGGTGTTGAAATTGACCAATCAATTTTGGGTAATTTGGATTCACAACTGACAAGATATCTCTACGGTCAACCTTTGTTACTTTCACCGGGATGATAAAGTTTCCCTTTGTATTGCTAACTTCCAGATCGTAGACTTCAACATGCTTTGTTATTGTCCCTGTGATGGTCTGAATACACTGCGTCAAAGTGCTGGATGGATTGATCCTCATCAGGCTGAGGAGATACGCAGATGCATATGATGTTGTAGCTCCTGTGTCCAGTAGTGCTCTACAGGTAATGCCATTTGCTTTGACGATGACAATGGGGTGACAAACCTTTTGCTCTTTGTGTGTTGCTGTCATAGCTGCTTGTCCTGGAATTTGGTTAGGTGGAGTTTCCTCTAACGTGTCACAAATTGATGAATGATGTTTTTTTTGCAGTGAAAACAGGTAACTCGACTTCGTCACTGTGCTGCATGGTGTCTGCCACCTGTACAGTTAAAACATAACTTTGCTTGCAGCTTCTGTTTACACTCATTTGGTGTAGCAACCTTCTTACATTCATATGACTTGTGCTGTTCATCATCACAGTAAACACAACCCTTTGGCGTTGAGGAATCTTTGGAGAAGAAGGAGTGGTTGAGGTTGTATGGGGTTCTAGGGTTATGTTCGGCTGAACTTTCCACTGGGTGTATTGGTTTCCAGTTTTCCAAAGCTTTTAATAAATCTGCAAATCCCCAATCTTGCCAACCAACCTGATTTGCGACCAACTCTGCCTTAATACCTGGTAATTTCTCTATAACACCCCGTACCATTGACAAACTCTGTGACAGTCTACCCAATGTTTCTAAGGATTGTACATTGTAGCTTAGGATCTTAATGAATTTGTGTATCTTGTTTACTTTTCTGCCAGTTATTGTAGGCAACTCTTGAATGTTCCTTACATATGCCCTAACAATCTCACTTGTGTTCCCATGGTTGGTTTTCAAAATGTTTTTGGCATGAGTGTACCCCTCTGTGGTAAAGGGTAGCCCATCAATCTCATCACACATGGAGCTCTAATAGTTCCTTCAAGTAAGAAAACTTGGTTACTGCTGGGAGGTCTGTATCGTCTATTTCGGGTTCAAATTTGTTCCAGAAAGAGAGCCATCTTTCATATGTACCATCATACTTTGTTATTACTAACTTAGGCATTTTAACACTGCTCCCCTTTGCTGGTTCTACCTTTGTTGACTTGCCACTGGTCGAACCCAAGCTAGCCATTTGTTCCAATTTACATTTTTCAAACTACAGTTCTTCATCCCTTTGTTGTTTTAACAATATTTTCTCCTTTTCACGTTTCTCATCCTCAGTCCTCGCCTCAGCTTCAGTTAAATATTGATTTAAATGCGATATCTCGCAATCCGCTTTGTCTACTTTGCTTTCGATATCCGCTCCCCATTTTTGCACGTCTTCAATCCCTACTCCCTCTTGTAATTTTTCCCTTTCGCCTCCTATTTTGAGATCTTCTATTTCCTTTACAATTTTCCCCAATGCTTCTTTCAGACCTGCCAACTCTCACGGTTTGACTGAGACTCCCGTTATCAGATGACTTCTCATGGTCACCCGGTATGACTAGTAATTCTCACGGTTTGTGAGAATTAGTAGCAGTGGGAAAAAATATAGTGCAAAAAAATACTGTGTAACTTATAAATAAAACACAAACTAAAGAAGAACATAAAAAGTATGACTATTTATACAATTACTCACATACACTGATTAATTAATATATATCGCCATATCGGTCAAAATTCGAGAAACCTAGTTCAAAAACGTGTTTGCCCGCCAGTCACGTGTAGCCCCTAACGATCCCTATTATCGCCAGGCTGTGCAGGCTACATTGTCAAATTCAAAATGGCTGATGATGTGAATTTTTCTGGAGCCGCCAGGTATCGCTGTAAGCTCAAGGTTGGGTGGACTAAAACGTATCCTAAACGAGCTGTGCGAAATAACGAGTTTGCTTTTGTCTGTATTCCTTGCAACAAAACCATTCGTTGTGATCACCAGGGCCTGAAGGATGTTAAAGACCACTGTGATACAACAACTCATAAAAAGCTACTTAAAACAACAAAAAGTCAGCCATCAGTTGCAGGGTTGTTTCGACGACCGGAATCATCAAGGGATATTGCTGTTATTAAAGCTGAAACTATGGTAACAAATTTCCTTATTCAGCACAATTTGCCGCTTGCAACAGCAGACCATCTGGAACCATTGTTTAAGACAATATTTCCTGACAGTGATATTGCAAAATGGTATTCCTCTGGAAGAACAAAGACCAGTGCTATAGTAAATAAGGCAACGGGGCCCCATTGTCATAATTATATTGTACAACATGGTGTGGAACATCCTTTTAGCCTTGGTACAGATGGGTCAAGTGATACAGATGTGAACAAAATGAATCCTGTAACTGTGAGAATTTTTGATGTAAACACATCAAAAACTGTTACTACTCATTTTTATGACATGTGTGTCACAACTGGAAGAGATGCATCAAAAGCAGCAGAGATTTTTGAAGTTGTTAAGTCCAAGTTTGAGCAAGATAACATTCCATGGTGCAATGCTGTTAGCCTCAGCATTGATAATACAAACTCGATGATTGGAGCTCATAACTCTTTTGCATCAAGATGCAAGGTGCAAAATGAAGAAATTTATGTATGTTGATGCCCATGTCACTTAGCCAATATTGCAGCAAGCCATGCCCATGATGCATTTGCAGAGGTTCTTGGAGTCCATGTGGAAAATCTTCTCATGGACATGTATTACTGGTTTGACAAAAGCACTAAGAGAAAAGGTGTATTAGTGGAGCACATGGAATTTTGTGACCAAGAATATACCAAGATCCTGAAGCATGTCTCAGCCAGATGGCTATCATTAGAGAGATGTGTGGAACGTGCACTTCAGAAATATGCTGGACTGAAGTCCTATTTTATCAGTCCAATCACAGAAATAGCCCTGATGTTCAACCAAGCCACCATTTCATTGTTCACTGATTGTTACAATCTGTTGAGCCAGTGGTACATATAGTTCATGACAAGGTCACTGCACTTGCCAGAACACTTGAAAATTGTATCATTAAAGCAAATTTCATGCAAGACACAGATGTCACTGTAATTGATCTGACAGATCCTGAGATCTTCAAACCAAATAAGTCAATTCATCTTGGTGGAACAACCAAGTTTACTCTGCAAAGACTTTTAAATCAAGGAGACATTTCTCAAGTAGAGTATGACAATGTCTTCAAAGCTGCAGAAAAGTATTTCAAAGCATCCCTTGAATATATTCTGAAGAAATTTCCAATGACTAATGATGTGCTGTTCCATGCCAAATGGATGAATGTTCCTAAACGATTAGATGCTGAATGGGAGAGTGTGGAGTTCTTCCTTGCCAAGTTCCAATCATCTTTTGTCAATATAAACATGGACGCATTATACGACGAATTTTGTGATTACCAGACTTTAAGTGATGGGGACATTGGTGACAAGGCATGGAATGAAGCCAAGGTCATTGATGGTTCAATTGATGATACAGATGTATTCCATTACAGAGTAGACATTTTGTGGTGGTATATTGCTCATATGGTAACACCAGGAACAACTACAAGCTGGTTCTTTTACCTGCAGAAGGTAGCAGAGCTCGTCTTAGTTTTACCCCATAGTAATGCTGGGGAAGAACGACTTTTCAGTATGGTCCATAAGAACAAGACCGATAGCAGATCATCATTAAAGCTTGATGGAGCCCTTTCCAATTTACTGGCCATGAAGTTACACTATCCAGAATCTGTTGTTCCATGTTTCAAATGGAGTCCCGATGAAGCTCTTCTGAGAGACTCGAAGAAGGCTGCCATGGCATACAATAATGAACACAAATTAAAACTAAAATTGGTGTGCTTTTGTTATTTTTATACAGGTTTATATTGACATTATATTTATTGAACAGAACTGAACATACATGTAACATTGATATCCAGAGTTGGGTACCAAGATAATATGTTATCTTAGTACCCAATAATATATTGTTAGTAAATATAATATATTATATAAATATATATAGATAATATGGTATATTACTTTAATAAATGTTAACCTAATAAAGATTTCTATTTTTATGTAAAAAACGACAATCTCCAGGTTTGGCTATCAATCTCCAGGTATTTCACCATTAAAATTTAAAAAGTTCCAGATTTAGCATTTTAAAAGTTGGCAGGTCTGTTCTTTATGCCGAATGATTTTGTCAAGATATCCCCTCTCTAGAATTAGTTTTGTTTTGCTTCGCGTAAGTTTTAATAGCTGTCGCTCTGTCTCTAAATTCTTGCTAATTTTATCCATCTTCTTAGCTCTTTCGCTTCAAATCTCGTCGCAGGAGGTGCCACGTGTTGTAAATAGTAAAATTCACTGATAATCACGGATATAATTTGTATAAATCTCGTATAATTTCTCACATAAGTCGCACAATAATAATCTTCACAAAAAAAAACAGCATGCTTTCTCCGCGAGCCGAAACCATGCATCTCGCGGGACAATCACGTATACTGTTCTGATTACGTCATTTTCGACATTAGAAACTGACTCAGAAGTACCTCCCAAATTCATTTTGCACAACATTTTTGGCTGCATCGACCCCCTTTTTCCTTGTCCAATATTCATGGGACCCCGAATGAAATTTACAGTTCTCCTACCACCTAATTGACGGATTGTGTTGAAATATTCAACAACCTCTGGATCATATGCGTGGCATCGATCCTGGAATATTTCAATGACGTCTGAGAGATACTTGTAAAGGATTCCATTCTT